AAGATAAATGGAGAAAAGATGGAAGTTGTCAAAGACTTCATTTTGCTTCCATAAACCATCAACACTTAGGGAAGCACCGGTCAAGAAATCAAAAGACATATTGCATGAGGTAAATCTACTGTATAAGACCTTTTTAAAGTGTTCAAGGACAAAGATGTCAGTTTGAGGACTAAGGTGCACTTGTCCCAAGCCATGGTATTCTCAATAACCTCATATGCATGTTAAACTTGAACAATGAATAGAGAAGACCATAATAGAATTCATACATTTGAGCTATGGTGGTGGAGGAGAATATTAAAAGTACTATGGACTGCCAATAGAACAAACAAATTTGTTTTGGAAGAAGTATAGCCAGAATGCTCCTTAGAAACCAGGATGACCAGACTTCGTATTCCATACTTTGGACATAGTATCAGGAGGGACGAGTCCCTGGAGAAGGTTATTAGGCTTGGTAAAGTAGAGGGTCAGTGAAAAAGTGGAAGACCCCTAACAAGATGGATTAGCACAGTGGCAGCAGCAATGAGCTCAAGGATAACAATGATTGTGAGGCTCGCACAGAACCAGGCAGTGTTTTGTTCTGTTGTGCATAAGGTTGCTATGAGTCAGTACCAACTCAATGGCACCTAACAACAACAACAACAACAATAACAACAACAACAAAGATTTAGTCATTTAAAAAAAAAAAAAAAAACTCTGCCGGGTAAATCTTTATTTCACTCAAGCTAGAGGGATCAACATTCCACACTTAAGGATCTTCCTTACCCGACCAATCCAAAAGAGCAAAACAAAATGATTAGTAATGAAAAATATAGGAATCAGCATATCCTTTTGTTTTGTGTACTTTAAGGTTTAAAAAGTGTTTTAAGTTTTACTTGCTAATAGGAAAACATTATCTGAATGAATACCTAATGGCAAATGAGTGAAAATGTCTCAACTGCATTGGGGCTGCAGGGAATGTGGTCTCAGAGCACCCCAGCTTTCTTGATGAGAAGGTCGGAGGTACACTGGTTTGTATTATTTTGACATCCACTGAGTGCTCTAGGTTGCTTTTCCTTCAGCAAGGGCTTTGTCAGAAGACATTTAGGCTTGGCCTCCAAATTTGGCTGACAATTTACTGAGGAGATTTATGACCTTAGGGTTACTCTGATACTTGGACATATTTTCCGGGTTCTGAGCCACATCCTAGAAGGCCACCATAGCTTCTGGATCCTGCTATTATAGCTTCAAGAACCTCTGGATCACTAAGAATCTCATTGAGCCCAGGCATGCCACCTGCCATTCCAGGCACGCCCCCAGGAAAATTACCAGGCATTTCCCCGGAAACCCATCTGGAAAAGAGCCATGCTGAGTTCCAGATTGTCATCTGGCTTCTTCCTTCCTCTGGGCTCTTTCATGTTCTTCCCGAGTCTTCTTAACCCTTTCTATTTTTTCTTTGATCTCTCGCTCTTCATGTTTTCGCTCATACTTTCTCCGATGTTCTGCAATTTTCTGGGCCCTCGGTTGAACCTCTTTCAGCATTGCACTAGCATCTTCATCATAGTCCAGTTTACAAGCAAGAGCAAGGTCATGTGCTGCTTCTTTCCAATGGCCCAGAAGTCTGTGTACTTTGCCTCACCACTTGTAGGGCTAAGCTGAATCAGGATTAGTTTCAATGGTTTGGTCACAGTCTCGGATGGTAGCATTTGGCTTTTGTAATTTGATGAAGACACTGACTCTCTTGGCATACAGAATGGCCAATGGAGTATTCAACTTGATGGCATCTGTGAACAAGGCGATGGCTTTCTGTAGTTCACCATCATTGAGGGCATCGATGGCAGCCACTTTCTTGTCATTTGCCTGATCTATCATTTCTTCAGTTATCTCTACAGTTTCATCTCCCATTTCTTGAGGGGCGTCTGTGTCTGGGTCAATCACACCTTCATTGTCAATTTCTAGATGACTTTCTTCACTTGATGGTTCATCTGTTTTTATGCTTTCTTCTGGCTTCTTATCTGTTTTTTCTTCCTTGATATTCTCTTCTGATTTTGCTGAGTAGCAGGTGGTATTTTACCACCCATGTTTGTAGGGGTCCATGGTCCTCAGTGGGCGGGAGGCGGGAGGGGGGGGAGGGGGGGCGTGGCTGAGAGGACTGGAGCCCGATTCCAGGCCAGGGCGCTAGCTCAGTGTAACCGTGTGGAAAGGGGCAGCAGCTGCGAGAAAGATTTAGTCTTTATAGGTAGTCTTAATGGAACTATCAACCAACCAACAAACCCACTGCCGCTCAGTAGATTCTGTTTCATAGCAACCCGATAGGACAGAGTAGAAGTGCTTCCTAGGATTTCTGCGACTGTAAATCGATACGGGAACATTCCTGCAGAATGGTTGGTGGATTTGAACCTGCTCATCTTTCAGTTAGCAGCCAAGCACTTAAACCTCTGTGCCACCAACAACTACAAGGGAGAATTGTTTTTCTTTTTCTTTTTTAAACTTTTTTTTTGTGTGTGAATTGATTGAAGGTTTACAGTTTTACATTCAAGAAATCATACACTTCATTTCATCTCAATGATTGCAATCCCATCCATATAACATCACTTATTCTACTTCCCAGGAGAGAATATTTTTGAAGAACTTGAGAAAAAAACGAATTTAATACAACCTGAAGTGGAATGTGTTACAACATGATGTGTTACAATGAATGGTAAAAAAAATATGTATGTGTGTGGAGAAGAAAAAAGGACAGTGAATATTAAAAAAAAAAAAAAAAAAAAAAATGAAAATATCTTTTACATGAAAAGTTTGTTTCTGAGGTAGACAGTTAGGAATGATGCAGATTAAAAAAAAAAAAAAAAAAAAAAAAACTTGTGAAAATGTAAGGTGTTTAATCCCTCTAGTTATTTGTTGTATTATTTGTCAGTGGTTACAATGAGGAAAATCTTTGAATCTATTAAGTTCTTGACCCAGTAGTGTCAATAGAAAAATTCATTGATTCTTGGAAACTTAGCCATCACAATTCCCTGAATTTTTATCACAAAGAGTAACTGAATATCTTAAATTGCCCTGCCATGCAGCAATTAAATGGCTTCTCCGTAATAATATGTATGTGTGCATGTGATTGTTTTTAGCTCAAGGCTGAGATTAAATAATATTCGGCTCAGAAGAATTTTACTGGCTTTTGCTGTAGGTTTGAGAACGTTCCTTAATTAATTCAGCCTAAAATTACAAGGCAAACAATGCTTTTTATGTATATAAAAGAATTTATACTATGGTAAAGTAACTTCAGTAATAATTAATGGTGTATAACTCAAAGTAATATCAAGCAGCTTTATACATTTCCTGTGCTGTCAAAAGTTAAAGCAGTAAGTGAGATATCCATTTCCTCTAACCTCAGAATACAGATCCAGCTGCTTTTTTCCCCATTTCTTTTTAACTTCTATGAGCTCACCTGTAACCAAAAGGTCTGCTGTTCAAACTTGCCCAAGAGAAAGATGTGACAGTCTGCTTTCGTAAATATGATAGCCTTAGAAGCCTTATGGGACATTTCTACTCAATCCTGTAGCGTCATTGAGTTGAAATCCACTTAGCAGCAGTGGGTTTTGTTTCATTTTGATGCAACTCCAAAAATTCAATTTTTTCACAATTACTTAACTGTTCAATTGTGCTTCCACCTAAATTTCAATGTTGTGAAGAGCCGTAGAGTTGGTTCCGACTCCCAGCTACCCTGTATAGGGTTTCTGAGGAGCAGCCAGTGAGCTTGAAGTGCCGACTTAATGGTCCAGCGCATTACTCCACAGCACCACACCAGGACTCCCTCAGAGCAGCTGGTGGGCTCCAATCACAGTCCGTGTGGTTAGTTAGTTCAGTGTTTACCCTACAGCTCCACCAGCGCTCCCCAAGTATCTTCATTGTTGTTGTGCCGTAGAGTCACTTCCGACTCATAGTGACCCTGTATAGGGTTTCCAAGGCTGTAAATATTTATGGGAACTGAAAGTTTCATCTTTTTCCCTTGGAGCGGCTGGTAGTTTTGAACTGCTGACTCGTAATCCACTACACTACTGGTAGTGGTGATGGTTATGTGCCGTGGGGTCGGTTCTGACTCATAGCGACCCTGTACAAGGTTTCCGAGGCTGTAAATCTTTATGCGAGCAGAAAGCCTCATCTTCCACCCGCAGAAGAGCTGGTAGTTTCGAACTGCTGACCTTGAGGTTCGTAGCCAGATTCGTAACCACTACGCTACCAGACTTCCTTACTACACTACTGTTGTTGTTGTTAAGTGCCATCGAGTCGGTTCCGACCCATAGCGACCCTGTACAGGGTTTCCGAGGGTGTAAATCCTTACGGGAGTAGAAAGCCTCATCTTTCTCCCGCGGAGCGGCTGGTAGTTTCGAACCGCTGGCCTTAAGGTTCGCAGCCCGATTCGTAACCACTACGCTACCAGAGCTCCTCTATTAGACCACTATAATGGTCGAATCCTAAAATTAAAAGGGTAGGACTTGTGTTGGCCTTGGAATCCTGGTGTGGTGCTTGCTAACCACAAGGTTGGTGGTTCAAACCCACATGTCATTCCACTGAAACCCTATAAAGGCTCGCTATGAGTTGGAACCCATTCATGGCACTGAACAACAGCAACCAAAAAGGTTATAACTAGCATGAGGCCCAAGACTTGGCGGTCTCAAGTATTCCGAGCAGGTGTGAATAATAGCCTTGATCATTCATTGGGTTCAGGACATGTCAATCCATGAGTCTCAGCAAATGAGCTTCGAGCTCTTAAACAAGTGTGCGCTTTCTCAAGTCTCCTTTCCCGCCTTGCGCATGCTTAGCTCTGAGACAGCCTTAGTGGGCGGTTCCTGTTGTCAGCCCCTTGAACTTCCTGTCCCCAAGCGCCTACATAGACTACTGCCCCCTAGAGGCAGCCATCACTGTCTATAACCTCCCCTCAGGTGTCACCACTCGGGTGACATCCATCTTTGCCATCGTCGCCAGAACCCGATTGTCGTCGGTTGGGTGAGGTACCGCCTAGTGCCATGTCTGACAACGATGACCTAGACCAGGTCCTAGGTGACCAGTCGGGCCTGGGGGATGTGGCGGGAGCTGGAGGTGGGGTGGCAGACGAGCCAGGGCTGGTGGGGGCCGGCGCCCCTGGGGTTGTTCAGGAGCAGGGAGTCCCTGCGGGCTCCGGGGCTCCGGCCCAGGAGGTCCAGATGAGTGGGGAGGATTCAGATATCGAGCCGGCTGATGATGAGGAGGGGGCCGCCGTCGAGGAGGCCAACCGGCCTGGGGTGATCGACGCCTACCAGTTCCCTATGGCCGACTTCCGCTTAGAATTCTTGGGCCTGGTCCACTCGGTGCTGCGCCGCCTCTACTACCACAACCACATCCTCATGTGGCCCCGCGACAGCCCCAACGGGCTGCGCCAGCCCCACGGCGGCAGAAACAGGAGCAGGAACCAGGGCAGCGGCGACAGGGGAGGCAGCAGAAGCGGCTGGGCCCAGGGCCAGTCCAGGGGCGCCGGTGCCGGCGAGGGCCCTTCCTGGGGCGCCTTGTCCCAGCTCGAGGACGCCCCGATCCAGGGTCCCGCCCCGAGGCCCCGAGAGCCCACCAACCAGATGCACCAGGCCCCGGAGCCAGAGCAGCCCGAGGACGCCTCCCACCAGGCCTCAGCACCACAGCTCGAAGCGGCCCAGCCTGGGCCATCCCAGATCCAGTGGGCGGCCGCGCAGCAGGGTGAGGGTGGGCCGAGGCGCTGCAGAGCTGAGGGGCAGCGGGTGGATGGGTGGGTGGGTGGGTGGGAGGACGGACTGAGGGACAGACCGAGGGATGGACGGATGGATGGACAGACGGACGGATCGACAGATGGATGGATGGATGGCTACGTGGGTGGGTTGTGTGGGCCCAGGAGAGGCCTCTGTGCCAGGCCCAAAGTGCCCAAGTAAAAGCCCAGCCCTCCAACCGCCATAACCTAACCTCGCTTCCCCGCGGGTCCTGAGGAGCCAGGTTTTCAGGAAAGCATGGGGGTGCGGGGATAGGGGAGGACAGAGGGAACGCACTGAGGTGGTATTCCTCATGTGTCCTGTGTCGGGGAGGGCTTTTGAAAATCCAGTATTAGATCCATCCCAAGAAATGATGAACGGATAGGGGAGCGCTTGGTCAACATCAAACATTCAGGGGGTTGAGAACTATGAGCGTCACCATAAAATTGTTCTTTCGGGCAAATTAATATTTATTTTTCCAACAAAACAGAAAGACCCCCATGATTGGGATCCTTTTTCCTCCAAAAGGCCAGACACACTTAGCAGTTTATGGCATGTGGCACTTTCTAGACAGAATGAAATCGAGTCACTGAGCAAACTCTATCAGGCAGCAGAACTGTGAGGGCCCTAGAAGGGCCGTGTCCACCAGTGGGAAGGTGTTCACCAGAAGGGAGCTGCCCGGGCCCACTCTCTATTCTGTGTTCCTGAGAGTCAGCTATTAGGTGTCACTACTGCTTGTGAATTAGGAGGTTTTTTCCCATGAATATCTGGTCCCCAAATCTGTATTAATCTTCACTACAGAAGCAGCTCAATATCAGCCTGAAAACTCTGATGAAGAGGCCCCCAAACCAGGAGATGAGGAGGAGACAGAAGCAGAGGGGGAAACCGAGAAAGAAGCAGAGGAGGAAACTGAGCAAGAAAACGAACAAGAGCCCCAAAAGAGTCTGGATGCTGCAGAGGGAAGGCCCGGAAATTCCAGGTATCTATAATAGCTGTCAAGGAGCTCTGGTAGCATAGTGGTTATGAATCGGGCTGTGAACCTTAAGGTCAGCGTTACGAAACGACCAGCCGCTCCGCTGGAGAAAGATGAGGCTTTCTACTCCCGTAAAGATTTACACCCTCAGAACCCCTGTACAGGGTCGCTATGGGTTGGAACCGACTCGACGGCACTTAACAACAACAACGTAATAGCTATCAGGAGCTCTGGTAGCGTAGTGGTTACAAATCGGGCTGCTAACCTCAAGGTCAGCAGTTCGAAACTATCAGCTGTTTCGCCAGAGAAAGATGAGGCTTTCTGCTCCTGTGAAGATTTACAGCCTTGGAAACCCTATACAGGGTCTCTATAGGTTGGAACTGACTCCACGGCACATAACCACCACCACCACCACCCCATAGTATCCTGGTGTGGTGCTGTGGGTTAATGAGCTGGACTGTAAAGTCAGTTTGAACCGCAAGGCCCGTAAAATCATTTGGTTTGGTTCTGCCAATGCAACCACAGTTGCAGCCATCACATTATAGCAGGGTAATTTTTAAGATGGTAATTTTATATTGCTCACAAATGATGTTATAAATATTCAAATGGCCCTTAGCAGAAAAAAAGGTTCCCCACCACTGGCTTAGGGTGAGAAAGTCACAGGTGCCAGTTAATGTATACTTGTTCATTTTCTCCTATTTCATTTTGCAGTGGGAAGAAATCGAAGTAAAAGGACAGAGAAAGAAGCGTGCATCCATTCTTCATTGTTTTAAAGTTTTTTAATTTTCCTGAAATTTTATCAACACTAATTGTATTTCAAAGTTCATCACCCCAAAAGTGATATCCAATGAAATCTGACTTTTACATTTTAGAGATATTTAACAGTATTTATACAAGTTAAAAATAAAACTTTGTTTTAAATGAATAAGCTGAAATATGAGGGTTTTTTTTTTTAATAAATAATCGTGAGCAACACTGTTATGGACTGAATTGTGTGTCCCCACAATCATGTGCTGTAAACTCAAACCTCTTGGCCTGTGTTTAGAATTCCATTTGAGAATGGGCTACCTTTGTTATGTTAATGAGGCAGGATTTTATAATTCTTTTGAGAGCCAGCAGAGGAGAGATGAGAGAAATGCCAAGATATATGAAGATCTCCCAAGAAACTAAGATGCAGAAACGAAAGAGACAAAGACTCTGTTCAACCAGAGCCGACAGGAAGAGAAAACCTTACTGAATTTGAACTTCTAGCCTCCTAAGCTGTGGTCATTTGGGTTAATGCACTAGACTGCAAGGTCGGTTTGAACCTCGGAAACCCTACATGGGGTCACTATGAGTTGGAACCGACTCGACGGCCTTCTAACAGTAACAACAAACTTCTCTTTGTTAATATCATAACTTCCACTTGTGGTATTTCTGTCACAGCAGCACTAGATAGATAACCAAGATGTCTACTTTACCTTCATTGAAAGGGATAATGTCCTACCATTTGGTAAACCTCTTTCAAATTATTTTATTGCAACTCAAAATAACTTAAAATGTCAAGTTTAAAGCAATCTTTGTGTAGAGAGAGCTGGGGGAGGGGAGTGTCAAGCTGTCCACTGTATCAATCAGTAGCCACGTGGGGCTACTGAATACTGGAAATGTGACTGGTTCCACTTGAGATGTGCTGTGGTGGTGGTGGTTGTGTGCCGTGGAGTTGGTTCTGACTCATCATGACCCTGTATTGGGTTTCCGAGGTGGTAAATCTTTCTGTGAGCAGAAAACCTTCTCTTTCTCCCTTGGAGCAGCAGGTAGGTTCAAACTGCTGATCTTGTGGTTAACAGCCCAACTCCTAACCCACTTCACTACCAGGGCTCCTCTGAGATGTGTTTGTAAGTATAGCAAAACATGTTAAATGATCTCACTATCTTTATACTGATTACATGTTAAAATGATAACACTGAGTTAAAATATGTTAAATGCTGTTGAGTTGGTTCTGATTCATAACAATCCTGTCGTATAGGGTTCCCAAGGGGCAGCTGGTGGTTTTGAACCACCAACCTTGTGATTAGCAGTTCAGTGCTTATCCTACAGCACCACACCAGAACTCTAAACAAAAGATGATGATGTTAAGTGCAATCAAGTTGATTTCAACTCATAGTGACCCTGCCTAGGGTTTCCAAGGAACGACTGATGAAAAAAAGAATTTTTCCACAAAGTTTTTTGAAGCCTCCCCATAATTAAGTGGGTACATGGATATTTCTATGCGTATCCTCTAATTTTGAGTAAGTCTGAAATACTTCCTAAAAACGAAGTGAGAAAAATAGAAGAAAGAGAAAGAATGGACTCTGGAATTTGCTTTCAAGGAGAAAAACAAGGTAAAGTGGTAGTGGAGGCAGAGGAGAGGAAAGGCTTGAGCCTACACAGCCTCATTAACATGCTGAGTTAAAACTTCCAAGGTGCTTTTTCCATAGAGTTAGTACCTTCTGCTCTTGTTTTCTATGGCAACACATCTCCTAACTTTAGTTGAAGTGAAGTTCACATAACTAGAGTAACCTTTGAATGTGAACAATTCAGTGATGTTTAGTGTATTCACAGTGTTGCAACAACCACATTCAACTGGTTGCAAAATCTTTTCATCATCCCAAAGTAAAAACCCTTATTCATGAAGTTACTACTGATCTCCAACCCCCTTCCCCCCACTGGCAACCACTAATCAACTTTCTGTCTCTGAGTTTACTATCCTGTATATTTCCTATCAATGCAATTATATGTGGCTTTTTGTCTTGGTCTGATTTGAATTAGTATGTTTCAGTTGCATCCACCTTGTAGCATGTGTGGGTACTTCATTACTTCTGTTGTATGCTTGTACCACATATGTTTCTCCATGCATCAATTGATGGACATTTGGATTGTTTCCACCTTTTAGCTACTGTAACAGTGCTGTTGTCAACATGTGTGTACAAAATGTAAGTGTATCTGTTTCCCCAGCATCCACCATCTCCTGGATTGTGAACTTCTGAATGGTTGGGATGTTAAAGGGTTTCTTTTTTTTTTTCTTTTTTGCTTTCTTTCCAAAAGCTCTAGCTGGGCATTATCTCCTTGGTAGGTGCTCCATTAACATGTGTAAAGTGAAGTAAAATGAATGCTTATGCAACCTATTCATATTCCCTATGACTAGAGCCACAATGTGAGACAGGAAGCACATGGCTCCTATCGCCATTACTTAAACTGAAGGGGCACTTAGTGTATTTGAGGGCCTCCGAATTGGTACTGGTTTGTCAGTGTTGATGCTGTACTTGCTAAGAATAGTATTGCTTTTAGACTTGGGCAAGAGGCCTCTCCTGAGCTCTACACTTTAGAAATCCCTTTGGCTCTCTTCCAGCCACTCTTCTCCTCACAGGGCCAGGAGCCCAGCCCATGGGAACAAAGGTTGTACCCCCTGCAGACTATGATCCAAGCACCCCAAACAGCCCGAGTCTGCTTCCCGGGCCTGCATGCTTTAACCAGGGGCTGTTGTTGGGAGAGCTAATTACAGTAAGGAGTAACTGTGGGGGACAGTGATGGAGATGAGGTGAGGGAGAAGGGAGGAGGGAGGAGGGAGGAGCAGTTCTCCCAGACCATTGGACAAGTTCAAGAATCCTAAATCCTGGTGTGGTGCTACGAGTTAATGCGCTGGACTGCAATGTCGGTTTGAACTGCAAGGTTGGCAGTTCAAGGTCACCAACCACTCCTAGAAAACCCTGTACAGGGTCACTATGGTTTGAAAACAATTAGATGGCACTTAACAACACCCTCACTTTGGGGGTTGTTATGAAGATACAACTGTCATGGAAGGAGACACAGCCTATTGTATTTAGTAGTTTATTAGTTGATTTAAACATTTCAAATACTTAGGCATAGGATGACAGGTGAGCTCCCAACCCCTCTTGCCCTGAATTCTGCAAGTGTTAGAACACACTATGCATCCAGGTTAAATCTCAGGTTGACCTCACCCTCCCCTTCCTCAATCTGTGCCACACTTTTGTTATCTGATCCCAGAGGGGCACCTGGCTTCTGGAAACGGCTCATTCCCGTGGCCCGGCTTGCTATCGGGTTTGGACGTAGCCCCTGTGCCAGGCTGGAGCACCACCACCAACCATCTTGGCCCTATACTCTCCCTAGCTGCCCCTCGCATTCCCACTGGTCTCCTTCTGTGCTCCCAAATAGTTACAGGCATGGAAACCTGATCTTCAGTACCGTCCCCTCCCCACACAAACAGCCACTCGGAGGCCATCACCTTGATGGGGCATACCTGCTTGGAGGTCCACTCGCCTCAGCACAGTGGCTCTTAAGAACCTTCTGCTACACTGACAAGCCTCAGGCCAGGGTTACCAATTGTCTATTGGAGTCCTTCCAGCCCACCCACCAAGTCGCAGACAGACTGAGGCAGGCTGCAAAACAGGCTTTATTGTGTTTATTTGCTTTGCATACAGTACAAATCAAGAAAACTACAAAGAAGCTGATAATGTGTTAGAATGTGCCTTTAGGCATTAAACAACAACAACAAAAAACCTTAACATCTTAATTTTAAAATACTTTTGTTGTTAATTGGGAAAAAGAATCATTAATGGAGTGATTTGAGAGTAAGAATAACCTAATAGTGAACCATTCTGAGGAAAGTTGGGGGAAGGGAGGTATAACAGCTGTTCTACTGGGTTTACCTAGGTATAACTCATGTCTACAAGTAAACTGTTTACACTGGGAATATAAAAGAAGTAAAATTCAATCAGCTCAAGGTTTGCAGGTTCAAAAGGTAAAGATTCTTCATCAGGGAAAAGATGTATTTCATAAAATTTAAAATCGAGCATGTGGTTTACAGTGTTACATTATAGAATCATCAGCAAAGTCAGGCATCAAGGGGTTCAATCTGTTCTGGTACCTATCTGCCTCTCTGGAGATTGCCCCACTCCGAATTCAAAGGCACAGGTAGAAGCCCAGGTCTACATTTTCGTTCAAGTCGCTCTGAGGTGACAGAGGCAGACACAGTGATAACTGTAACTAGAGGTCACTTCTGGGTCTCCTAAAAAAATGAGTTAAGCTTACATTCCAGGCAACCAAAGAGAGGGAGGCTTTATTTAGTGTTTGATATGTCTAGGGGTGGATTAAAAGGGAAGAAGATGGAGAAGGAGATCTAATTACTTCTGGTGAACCTGAATGAACATCTAGGGTGATTCACCTCATGGAGATCTAGCCAAGCATTAAACGGACTCTATGCTAAAGGTGCCTGTGAGTTATTCATGAAGGGAATTGTGGTGCTTTGAATTTAGGGGATATATGGCTTTTCTATCCAAGGTCTTCTTAATTCCCACCAAGTGATTGAGTGGGACCATGCAAAGAAGTTATACAGGACTCTAAGGCTGGGATTGGTTAGTTTTGCCATCCAGCTAGGTTTAAAAGGAGACATTCCAGAAGCAAAAAGGAAGAGAATGAGTGGAGTGTGAGATCCCTATCTAAACTGCTCGCTGGTTCCCTTTAACTTTCAGTGCTCATGGAATGTTCTCTGATGGGCACGGATTTTTCTTGCCTAGATGCCTCCAAAGCAAACAGATTTGCTAAAAGGGGAGTTCGAATTTGCTCAGAAATAGGATTTTTGCTTTAAGCCTTAGTAGAGTATGAGGTCTTGGGTGGAATTCTGAGTCCCACCCAGGACATTCAGATTTGGTACATTTGCATTTGAAAAGATGCAGACCTACCCAGAACTGCAGAGAAAACAGACGATATATGATTGTAAAAGAACCCCAGGAAGAAGAAGAAAAAAAGTGGATTGTTTGGCTTTTGAGTTTCAAGCAAGCTGGGTCTACTTGTTGAGTGGAAATGCGGGAAACACAGCAATGAAGAGGCAGGTTGAGTTTGGGCTTGTTCCATTGCCACCGATTTACCTTAAGAAGAGAGAGAAGAGAAAGGGCTGGCTGGTCTGAAGTTTAGGGAGTTATGTGAACTCCTGAGTACATAGGCACTGACCTAGCCTTGGGGGTAGGGCTAAGAGTGAAGGGGACAGCTGGTCTGAAGTTCAGGGAGGTGTGTGTGAACTCCCAAACTTGTAGCTGGTATCCATTTGATGTAGCTTGGATGGCTAGGGTTGATCTGTGACCAGAATCATATGAAGATAAACATGTTTGATACTGTGAGCAAGTGTAAATTGCTACAATTTGATTTGGACTTTTGCTTATGGATGCAGTTGCTCAAAATTCCAACTGGAATGGAAGATTCTTGAGATCAAGGAACATTCATTGTACTGGGTTGATAGGGATGGGCAATTTAGACATTTTTTATCAAAAATGATGTACTCTAAAAGCATGAAGTGGCTGACTTACAAGCTTTCATGGGTGTACTTAATCTCCAGATGAGGGGGACAAGGGAGAATACCCACTGAATAGTTTCTTCCTTTCTAGAAAGTCTGGTGAAGAGAGGGTGGGGAAAGATGGTGATAGGATTTTATGATTTCAGTAGTGAGTAATTGTTAGCAGGATTAATTGTGATTCTCAAAACTGTAATTATAGAAGATGTGTAACTAAAGGGGTTGTTAATCCTTCATTTATGAAAGACAATGGCAAGAAAAGCCAGGTGGCCTGTGGTATATTGGATTTACTTGATATGGCTTTTCTATCCCGTGTCCTCTTAATTCCACCAAGTGATTGGGTGAGACCATGCAAATAAAAAAATGTTTAGTATCAAGTTAGTATCTGATGTGCTAAAACAACAGGATATGTGTGATGGGCAGTATATTTCTGGGCACTTGGAGAGGGTCTCAAGATTCTTTGTTTGGCAAGAAGCCAAACACAGATATACCAGCCATTCAGAGGAGTAAGACCATTAAGATCCCTGGGAGGTTCTCACTGCTGCCAAGTCTGGAGCAGGTTGGCCTGGGGCAGCTCTATACAAGTGCTCTGTGGGTCACTATCACCTGAGCTGCAGGCATTGCTCCATCCCAAGGGATGCAGGGAAGATGTTTCTAAGGCCAGTGGACTATCTAAGAGACTGTCAATTTTTTTCTTGGAGACCCAGAATTTTCACTTCCACCATCTATTCTAGAAACTTATTATAAAACTTAGAGTAGCAACCTAAGAATTGAAGCATTTAACTAGGCTTCTGAAATCTAAAAGCAGATTCTAGGGCCAAATCATCTGAAATTTTCTAGTAAAAATACTTGATTTGATTAAAAGAAATGGCAACCTCTTACTTGCTTTAACAAAATGTTTTGCTTCCTCCTTTCCAAAGCACATTGCTCTGAGTGAAAGATTCTATCATTCTAAAGCAGTACAATGTTTTTCCATAGATATGTTTTTAATAGGGGAAATGCTGCGTTTCCTGATGCTGGTAGTGACTATAATGAAAGTTAGGCATTTGTGGCATTTATATAATTCAAATAATTCTATGCATTAATTTCCATATATAAGGCTCTTTTAAAGAGCTCTGATAGTGTGGTGGTTATGAGTTGAGCTGTCAATCTCACAGTCAGCAGTTTGAAACTACCAGCCGTTCCATGGACGAAAGATGAGGCTTTCTACTCCCGTAAAGATTTATAGCCTTGGAAACCCTATACAGGATCGCTATGAGTCGGAACCGACTCCACAGCACATAACCACCACCATCAAGGCTCTTTAGCTTAAAAATCATCACAGTAAAGAAACCACTAACTGGACTTCATACAGCTTCTGGCAATTATCATTCAAAATGCTGATGCTCAACCAGTGAGCTATTTATTACATGATCTCGGCTATATGGCTCCATGCTTTGGCTTTTTTCTTGGCCATGGAGAACCAAACTGGTTCTTCCGACTCAACTGGCTCTTCAGGTGCTGCTGGGAGACTTGCAGATTTCCTGGTTTCTTTTTCCTTGGCAGGCACTTGAACCATCTTGTGATCTTCAGCTGGAACCACAGCAAATAACACACAAGCAGTAAGAAGCCCTAGAGATACTGGGGTCTGTTGTTTATGGGATGCAATCATATTTTCCCAATTTTTATGTTTCCTCTAATTTCCTCTGCTCACATTTCCAATTCCTGCTCCCTTCAGGGCATGGGCAATGTCAAAAGCATTATGGGTATGTCAAAAGAAGGAAAGCAACATGGCTCTGGCCACAGGAAGGAGCCATAGTGACACAAGGGTTAAACACTTGGCTGTGAACCAAAAGTTCAGTAGTTCTAACCCACCAGTAGCTCCAAAAGAGAGAAAACATGGCATTCTCCTCCCATAAAGATTGTTGGTGCTGTTGAATGCCTTTGAGTTGGTTCCAACTCACAGCAACCTTGTATAGGGTTTCCAAGGAGTGGCTGATGGGTTTGAACTGCCAACCTTGTGGTCAGCAGTCCAGTGCTTATCCTACAATGCCCTACCAGGGCTCTCCAATAAAGATCACAGCCTAAGAAACCCTATGGAACACATCTGCTCAGTCACATGGGGTATCTATTCAATATCACACAACAACATGGCCACGGGAGCCTGGACATGGTAAGGCCTGAGAGATGATACCTACAACTGTAACTGCCAATCACTTTTGAAACCAGATAAGAAGGGAAAGATACTGTATGGTATCTGTTCCATTTTTAATTTCAGAAAAGGCAATGGCCAAGAAGACTACAAGCTTCCTACCTCCAATTCCACTCCCCCATCATGCTTTATGGCTGATTGACTCAGTGACTTAGATTCAACCGGACGTTCTAAAGTCTAACTACATATTAGAATCACCTTGTTGTTGTCAGGTGCCATCGAGTCGGAACCGACTCATAGCGACCCCATGCACAGCAGAACGGAACAATGTCCGATCCTGGGCCAACCTCACTACCGCCGCCACACTTGACGCCATCAATGATGCCACCTGGCTGATCCATCTCGTTGGGGGTCTTCCCCTTTTTCTCTGACCCTCCACCCTACCCAGCATGGCATCCCTCTCCAGCGACTGTTCTCTCCGGACAATGTGTCCAAAGTATGAGAGACGAAGCCTAGCCATCTTGGCCTCCAAGGATCACCTAGGGCACTTAAAAAGAGTCCTGGTGGCACTGTGGGTTAAGCATTGGGTTGCTAACCACAAGGTAGGCTGTTCCAAGGGAGAATGATGAGGTAGGTGTCTGCTCCTCTAAAGATGTATAGTTCCGGAAACCCTAAAGAGCAGTTCTGTGTCCTTTAGGGTCGTTATGAGTCAGAATCATCTTGATGGCAGTGGGTAGGTGGGTGGTGGTGTTTGTATACCACCAAGTTGATTCCAACTCATAGCAATCCTTTACAGGGTTTCCGGGGCTGGAAATCTGTATGGGAGCAGAACGCCTCATTTTCCCCCCATGGAGAGACTGGTACATTTGAACTGCTGACCTTGTGGTTATCAGTCCAACTTGTAACCCACTATGCCACCAGGGCTCCCTGGGTGGGTGGGTAGGACACTGAAAATAAACCAAAACACTGCCCAGGCCATTTCCAGAATTGACTGATATTGAATCTCTAGGGAAGGAGTCAGAGCTATTTTTACTCTTTTATAATCTCACGGGGGACTCTTATGCACAGGGGTTGGGAATCACTCCACAGAGTGCCTACAAGACCATTTAAGAACAAGCAGGTCAGTGCTGTGGGATAAGCATTAGATTGCTAATGCAAGGTTGGCAGTTCAAACCCACCAGCTGCTGCTCTTCAAGAGAAAACTGAGGCTGTCTGCTCCCAGAAAGATTTACAGTCTCCAAGACCCTATATATGGTCGCTATGAGTTGGAATTAACTTAGTGGCAGTGGGTTTGGTTTTTGGTTTTAGGTCACAGCCAGGCAATGTTTCTTAGGTTCCTGGTCTAATGTCTTCATGAGGGAGACAAAGGGAGGGGACAAAGATGATTCATTATAAGTCCATTCTCCCTTTCTCCTGCTTTAGCTGAAAAAATAAAACAAGCCCTCCCCCCCCCCACCCTGCCGCATCCATATCCATACCCTACTGATGCTGATAAGAGCACATCCTATGATATCCCAGCACAGAGGGTTTTCTTTACAGCTGTTACTATTTCCCTACTTATCACATTTCTGCTCAGCCTAAAAAGGAGCTAAAACAAGCCTCTCAGACAGTTACAGATATTTGGACTTTCTCAAAAATAGGTTCAATTCAGTACCACTCAGTCATTATCAACCAGCTGCTGTCAAGTCAATTCTGACTTAGGGCGACCCCATGTGTTTCAGAGTAGAACGATGCTCCATAGGGTTTTCAGTGGCTACAATCTTTTACAAGCAGATTGCCAAGCCTTCTTCCTAGGTGCTTCTGAGTGGGTTTCACTCTCTAGCCTTTCGGTGAGTAGCCAAGTGCTTAACTAACTATCTATACTACCCAGGGACTCTTAAGCCTTTATCGTAAATTGTTTTTGAACAGTTACATTGGGAAGATAGAAGGTGAGAAAATCTTGCTTTGCTGTGAACTGGAAAGTGGTTTTCACGGGAACATTTCAGTGAGTAAAAGACTAGAGGACCCTCTGAGAGTTACCCACTGGATCTATGCTAGCAGATTCATCGAGCCTTCCTAAACCATCTAATCCAAGGGCCATGAGAGAATCGTGATGCTGATTTTGGGTACATGACTTGTTTGAGCTTAAGATGGCAAGTTTTACAACATTCTGCCAGGATTCTTTTTTCAGGGCTGGAGTGTTGGTAGAGGTGTGGTGAGTTTTTACCTGCTTTGGTAGGTTTAGGTGTCTTTATTGGTGCCATCTTCTCCTGTCTCTGGACATTGGAGACAAAAGTCTTCTGTTGACCTTCATTTGCGGGGTTAACTCTCTGGAATAAACACAGGAAACAGAAAACTTGTAAGTCCCGACATAATAAAAAGAAAGTTTCTTGTTCAGGAGACCACAGGGTACAAAGCATTGTCTAGGATCCTATAAGCTCAATGGTGGCCAAAGTAAAAAGACAGATGCTAGGCAGACAGATAGATGCTAGATGGATAGATAGGTGAAAGAAATAGCACAGAAAGCCCTTTGGCTCAAGCTTACCACTTTTCAGACTTGAAAGCAAAGACTGTCTAATCATGCATACACACAAGGTAACAGGAAAATTATTGAACTTGAGAATAACCTTTTCCCTAGTACTTTGTTGTTACGTGCTATCATGTTGATTCTAGCTCATAACAACCCTGTATAGGGTTTCTGAGGCTTTAAATCTTTGTGGGAGCAGAAAGCCTATTTTCCTCCCAAGGAGTGGCTGGTGGGCTTAAATCACTGACCTTGTGGTTTGCATTTCTGTGCTTATCCTCCAGAGTTATCACGTCCCTCTCTAGTATTTTGTTGTTGTTGTTAGGTGCCATTGAGTAGGTACTGACTCATAGCCACCTTATGCACAGCAGAACGAAACACTGCCCGATCCTGGGCCAACCTCACTACTATTGCCACGCTTGAGTCCATCGATGCTGCCACTTGGCCAGTCCATCTCATTGGGTGTCTTCCTCCTTTTCTCTGACCCTCCACATTACCAATCATGATATCCTTCTTCAGCAACTGGAGAAGTCATATCTCCTGACAATATGTCCAAAGTATGAGAGAGGAAGTTTGGCCATCCTGGCCTCCAAGGAGCACTCTGGCTGCTCTTCTTCCAACACAGATCTATTGGTTCTTTTGGCAGTCCATGGCACTTTCAGTATTCTCCTCCAACACCACAACTCAAAGGCATCAATTCTTCTATGATCTTCCTTATTCACTGTCCAGCTTTCGCATCCATATGAGGTTGTTGAAAATACCATGGCTTGGGTCAGGTGCACCTTAGTCCTCAAGCTGACATCTTTGCTCTTCAAGAAGCACTTTAAAAAGGTCTCATGCAGCAGATTTGCCTAATGCAATACGTCATTTGATTTCTTGACTGCTGCTTCTGGGAGCGTTGATAGTTGATCTAAGAAGAATAAAGTCCTTGACAACTTCAATCTTTTCTCCATTGATAAGAATGTTGTTTATTGGTCCAGTGGTGAAGATTTTTGTTTTCTTGACATTGAGATGTAATCCATACCGAAGGCTGTGGTCTTTGATCTTCATCAGTAAATATTTTAAGGCCTCTAGTATTTTACTACTCCTTAAAAGAGGAGAGGAGTGGTTGATCTTGCAGTCTAGGAGCGGAGGACCCCGGGACCATCAAGGGAGAAGAGTGGAGTGTGGGGCCCTACTCAGATAAGCAGCAGGCACCAGAGATGGAGGCAGAGACAATGACGTGGAGAGATGGAGCGGCTGGGGATTCTGGACTCAGGGAGGGAAAGGGACTGTGTGCTGGTGGCTGGGGGACAGGCCCTTTGGTTGTTTGAATGGTTATATATTCCTGAGTGCTTTGGTGTACATCCGAAGCAAAAGAGGGAATGGAAGCAAAAGCTGTTGAATGCATGGAGGGAATTGTAATTATCGCAATGAAACGAAATACGATAGGATGAATGTAAAGCTGATGCTCTCCCATGTAAACTATCACTCAATACACAATAAAAACTTAAAAAAAAAAAAGTAAACTAGCATCAATTGTGGACATTTGTGTGGAAGCACTCTGTGTATTAGAAGAGAATGTAATCCTAGAGTCCCCTGTCCCCAATCAGGCAGTTTTGAATTTTCAACAGTATCCACTTCCACTACTCTGAAATCTACACAAAACAGACTCAATAGCACTTAACAACAACACAACTGGACTAAATGAGCTGGTCTAGAGCCTCTCCTCTGACAGAAACTTCATAGCTATTCTCCTCTTAGAACCCTAAAATAGGTCTACACGGAGCCACAGACGACTTTGCCCTTGGGTGAGCCTACTCCCATATATATGCTAATGGTAAAAAAAAAAAAAACAAAAAAGAAAGAAAACAGCTTTGAAATTAGTCAAACAGGTCGTGATCCCTCAACAAATTTAGTAACCACTTAAAAGTATAGGCACTTATACATATCTCTTTGATATGTAAATTAATGTTTTCTTGAGTCCATTTTCTGCAGTTTTGATAACAGGTTTTTCATTCCAACACTTACAAAGGCACTGCAAATAGGACATTGGAAGCAAGACCATCATCCCTGATCCATTAGCCTAGCTTATCACAGAACATAGTCTGAAACTTATAGGAAGGTGCCACACAAAATCAAATCCATATGAAGAAATTCAAACAGCAAATCCACAAAAGTCAACAGTACCCAGAAATGGAATGTTCATTGAAAACCTTAGGATGTAGAGTTTGAATTCATTTATATTTCAATCATATACATATATATGTTGTTTTTAAGTGCCATCGAGTCGGTTGACTCATAGCGACCCTATATAGGGTCTCCAAGGAGTGACTGACCTTGTGGCTCAAACCGACCTTGCAGTCCAGCGCATTAGCCCTGCAGTGCCACACCAGGTCTCTCTCTCTCTCCATATATATGTTGTTGTTGTTGTTATGTGCCCCGGAGTCGGTACCGACTCACAGTGACCCTGCACAAGGTTTCTGAGGCTGTAAATCTTTATGAGAGCAGAAAGCCTCATCTTTCTCCCACAGAACAGCTGGTAGTTTCGAACTCCTGACCCTGAGGTTAGCAGCTCGATTTGTAACCACTACGCTACCAGAGCTCCTTCTCCATATAGATATATATAAATACATATTTATAGGCACAAAATATCTATAAGAATAATCACTAACCCTTACCCCAATCTTTGGGGATTTTATGACATACTCCAAAAGGCCACAACCATGACAATCCAATGGAGTGGCTGTACTCCATATCCATGGGGTCACCAGGAGTCAGAATTGACTCAAGGGCAATTAATAACTACCACCTTGTTTCTCTGGTAGCGTAGTGGTTACGAATCGGGCTGCGAACCTTAAGGTCAGTGGTTCGAAACTACCAGCCGCTCTGCGGGAGAAAGATGAGGCTTTCTACTCCCGTAAGGATTTACACCCTCGGAAACCCTGTACAGGGTCGCTATGGGTTGGCTCCGACTCGAAGGCACTTAACAACAACAACAACCTTGTTTCTCACAGCTACTTTCACGGAACCCTACTCTGGAGTCTTTTGGAAAGGATTTGGTCTACAGACTCTCCTCATGTTCATTACTTTTTACGAACTCTTTAAGAGCATAAAGTAGGGTGTCTCTGTGTAAATACAAAGCCTGACTTGTCCCCTGAAGATGTCTTCTGCCTTGATGAATACACAAAGAGATGTGGAGCTGTATGCCTGACAGAGTTTCCAAAGGAAGCGGAAGCAGTGACTCCAGCAAGCTTTTGGGATGTTTTCAGGGCTGCCGCAGGCCTTACCCCAAACTGAGGCTCCTTAATCTCAGCCCTGGCTCCAGTTCCCTTCTTGATGTTAACTTCTTTCACAGGAATGTAGCTCTGGAAAGTCTTCTGCCTTTGCTTTACCATGCTTGTCTGAGGCAGCTCTGAGGTGGTAGAATCCAGCTGCTGCCCAGGAGCCTTTCCTGAGAAAGAAATGAAAGGAGTTAGAGCTGCAGTTAGGCAGCCAGGGTCTGAAGCCTGACTGGGGCTTGTCCACAATAGTGTCCCAAATGAAATCCTTGTTATTTGCCAGATGAAAGGGCTATTAAGGGGAGAAGAACCTCCTTCTTTTGTGCCACCTCCGACCCCCGCCAAAGAAGGGGTACTTTTTAACCACCCGGACATACTGTCGCCTTACTGGTCCCTTTCCCTCCCTTGTCCATGTCTTTTCTCATCCCTAAATCAGGGGAGAGGAGCCCCAGTGGTACAGTGGTAAAGGGTTAAGTTGCTACCAGAAAGGTGGGTGGTTTTAACTTAAAACCACTAGGCAGAAGAATTGCTGATCTGCTTTTGTAAAGATTACAGTCTTGGGAACCCTAATGGGCAGGCAGTTCCAATCTATCCTATAGGCTCACAGTGGTTGCCAGGTCACTGATGTCATTTCTCTAGTCTCAAGGCAAACAAACAAACAAACAAACAAACAAACAAACAAACAAACAAACACATAGTTTTTCTTACTTCACAGTGCCTTATGCAAGTGTGTCTACATGGGTCTTTTTACAGGCAAACACAAGACTGAGCGATGGTGAGTGTGAAGATATGAGGATTGTGGAAGAGGCTAGTGCTTAAAAGGTCCCCAAGCTTGAGATTCTCAGCTATTACTGGTCAGTGAAGACGGTTGTACAAATAGAAATGTTTACACTGAATGTGGTGGAGTATACAGGGGGCAAAGTTATGAAAACATCTTAGACATAACCAAGCATGCTGAGGGAATGAGTCACTGGGCCCGGAGGCTCAAGACCATGAGCCCTGGGGACACCAAGATCAGCTGTCATAACATAGTCCACAAACACAATGTTCTCCGTCCTGCTTTGGTGAGTTGCAACTTGGGTCTTAAAAGCTCACGACTCGCCATCTATGGTGTAACTATTGGTCTCTCCATATCCAGAGGAATGAAGAGTGAAGAAAAATCAAAGTCGTTATTCCAATGTACTAATGGGCCACGTGAACATCGGTATCCATGACCCTAAGATCAGAAGAACTAGATGGTCCCTAACTACCACTACCAACTACTCTGAAAGGGATCATCATTAGAAGGTCCTGATAGAGTGGGAGAAAAGTGTGGAACACAACTCAAAATTATTAAAAAAAAAAAAAAAAAAAAGACCAGGCTTACTGGTCAGAAAGATTGGTGGACACCCCTCCCCCTACCCCCTGCCCCCTGAGACTATGGCATTTAGTCACCCTTCAGACCTGGAAATGAACTACCTCATGGCTCATTTTTCAGTGAAACAATAAGCCTGTAAAGGGGATCAATAGCACTAAGGAGGTATGCACACCTTAGAATAATCAAACATTTGAGATCAAAAGGGCAGCTTACTCAGGCACAAAGGTCAGAAGGGTTAGAAAAGAAGGAGAAATGGAAACAGGAAACAGAGGAGGAAGTGGGATAAGTGATGCTACATTGTGGCGATTGCAATGAAACAATATGTGTGTGAAACATTGAATGGAAAACTGATCTGCTCTGTAAACTTTCATCCAATTCACAAAAAGTTTAAAAAATAAAGAGAGAGTCTGAACACAATTGGCTTAAAAAAAAAATCCACATAGTGTTGGTGAAGGCAGAATACATATAAAAGTAGTTTGAGAGAACCATAAAGGTCCATCCAAATGTAAAGTGTTCAAGGGAGGTGAGAGGGAGGAAATGGGGGAGGTTCTACATTCTGCTGCATTCTACAGTGTGGATGGGTATCCAGAGGGAGATGCCCTTGGGAAAAATTAACCACTTCCAAATTTACTGATCTAGAATGGGGCACTACACTGCTTCAAAATCCATAAAACAGCCCGATTAAATTAACAATTTAGTAAACCAGGCTAGAGCAGACTTCCTCTCATCCAAGACTTTGATTTCTAGTTATTCCTTCCACTTGTTACCTACTTGCCTTTTGGGCAACTTAAGTCTCACCTGTGATCTTGTGAGTTGGCTGCTTCTTGCTTATATCGTCAGATTTGGGTCCCACCTGCTGCTTCTCTGCCAGATTAGATATTTTGGTGAGGTTCTCTGAGGTGCCCAAGTTCCCCTGTGAGGCATTTCTTTTAACTTGCTGCTTTCTCTCTATGGTTGATGAAGTTGGACCCAAGGGGCTTGTAGGAAGTTTGGTTAAATCACCTTGTTTCTCACTCTTGTGCTGTGAGGATGGGATTCTTCTCAGCTTCACTCCAAAAAGATTTTCAACATTGGGAGATGAGCCTGCATGCTTGGGATTCTCATCGTCTTTCTTAAGAACTTCTTTCTTAGGGGAAAGGACTCCAGGAGCAGGAGCAATGGTGGATTTCACGGGTTTGTTAGTAAAGGATGAGATGTACTTGAGGTCTTCGGAGCCTTGGCTGTATTTCTTGGTTTTGTTTGGAGAAATTGAGGCTCTTGGTAAGGAGCCGCTGCCAGGGTCACTCTCAGAAATGGTTCCCTCGGCAGTAGCACTCATGGAATGTGAATAAACCTTTCGTTTTTCTTCCGGATCTCCAAGAGCTTGGGCAGGGTGTTTGGGAGGCAGTTTCTTTTCAGGACTGCTCCGTTCAACAGGTACACTCACTGAGCCCATTGGGGAACTCTGTGGCGGGAATTCTGCGGCTTGGAAAGGACGTCTGGAAGGTGGCTGTTTGTGAGAGCTGGTCTTCTCTGGAGTATTCTCTGAGCCTGAGAAAACTTTGTGTTGGTCTTCAGGCTTCTTCTGCAAAGGAAACTTCGTAGGCATCACCTTCCCAGAAATGCCTGCCTCAATATCAGCTTTATCAGAACCTGAGCACACTTGGCGCTCAACTGGAGCCTGCACCATAGATTTGGAAGGATAATTTGGGGGTAGAGGATCCACACAAGGATACCCCTCAGCAGCTGGGCTCTCTGAACCTGAAAAGACTTGCTCTGCTATAAACTTCACATACGACTTGGAAGGACTCTTAGAAAGCGTTGATTTCTTAGGAGTGCCTCCTTCCACAACAGTATTCTCCAGACGTGAGGACATTTCCTGGACTTTAGACTTCGATAAACACTGGGCAGGATACCTGAGAGGCAGTGGCTTTCCAGAATTAGCCCCCTCAACAGCAGCACTCTCAAAACTTGAGGAAATTTGCTGGACTTTATGCCTCACAATGGACCGGGGTGGCTGCTTGGGAGCCAGCAGCTCCAGAGACACAGCCCTCTCACAATCGCTCTCTGGACCTGTAGATACTTGCTGCTCAATTTTAGGGTTCAGCCATGGCTGGGGATGGGATTTGGGAGCTATTGGCTCCACAGAATCGCTCCATTTTGAACCTGAGGCGATGTTTTGCTTGACTTTTGGTTTCATCTGGGTCTGAGAAGGATGTTTGGAAGGTGACAACTCCCTAGAAAAGCCTCCCTCAAAAGGAGTACTCTCTGAATCTGCAGAGGCTTCTTGCTCGAATTTAGGCTTCGCCCATGACTCGAAAGGGCGCTTGGGAAGGAGCGGCTCCACAGAACCTCTCCGTTCTGCAGAGGCACTCATTGAATCTAGGCTTATGATCCGTGGCTGGAATTCAGGCCTCATCGAGGGCTGGTAAGGGCTTCCAGGAGGCAGCAGCTCCTTAACAGGAGTGCTCCCTGAAAAGACTTTCTTGACTTTAGGATTTGTCAAGGACTTGGAAGGATATTTGGGGCGCACTGGCTCCATAGAAATGATCCTCTCAGCAGCAACACCCTCAGAACCTGAGAACACGTTTTCTTCAACATTAAGGTTCATCAAGGGCTGGGAAGTACGTTTGGAAGGCAGCTGCTCCACAGAAATGCTTCCGGTGCTTTCTGGAAATGAAGAGACTTGTTGCTTGGCTTTGGGGCCAACCCGTGGCTGTACAGTGCGTCTGGGAGGCAGCAGTTCCATAGAAACTTCGGTACTCTCTGCACTTGAGGAGACATCTTGTTCAACTACTGGTCTCACCAAAGGCTGGGCAGGACATCTGGTTGACAGTGCATGCCTAGGAATGTTTCCATCAGCAGTAGTGATTTCTGGACCAACGGAGATTTCTTGCTCAAGGACTGCTTTCACTACACGCTGAGAATGTCCAAGAGGCCTAGGCTCCATAAAAGGAATCCCCTCAACAGTAGTACTCTCTGGATCTGAGAAGGCTTCTTGCCCAACTTTAGGCTTTGTTGAATGCTTAGAAAGGACTCTGGAAGGCGGGGACTTCATAGGCATGTCCCAGTTAACATCAGTGCCCTCTGACCCTACAGAGACTTGTTGCTCAAAGGCAGGAGCCCATGGCTGGAAAGGGTATCTGGAAGACACTGGTTCCATAGAACCACTAAATTCTGTAGAAGTTGAATCTGAGGAGATTTGCTGCTGAACAACTGGCCTCTTGAAGGGCTGAGGAGAGTATTCAGGTGACTGCTGCTCCTCACGAGTGTCCTCTTGTTCGTCTTCAGGCTCTCCCCAGGTCTGGGAAGGGAGGCTGGGAGACAGGTCTTCCTCAGAACTGCTCCAATCCTCAGCACTATTGTACTTTTCAACATAACTATTGGATCCTGTGGAGACTTCTTCATTTTCGGGTTCTCCCCAAGCCTGGGGAGAGCATCTGGGAATCAGATGCCTCTCAGAAATGCTTGCTCCTTCAACAAAAAGTTTTGATTCTGGGAAGACGTCTTGCCCATCTTTAGGCTTTTCCAAGGACTGGGAAGAGTATCCAGTAGCCAGCTGCTCATCAGAACTGCTTCCCTCCTCTGAAGTATTCTCGGATTCTGAGAAGATTTCTTGTTCATCTTCAGGCTTTCCCAAGGCATGTAATGAGTGTCTGGGAGCCACCGGCTTGCCAGAACTGCTCAATTTCACAACTAAACTTTTCGGTTCTGAGGAGACTTCTTGTTCATCCTCAGGTTTCTTCAATGACTGGAAAGAATGTTCAGCAGCCAGCTGATCCTCAGAACCACTCTCCTCCTCTGAAGTACTCACTGTATCTGAGACTTGTGGACAATCTTCAGGCCTCTCCAAATCCTCGGGACTGCTTATGGGAGGCAGTCTCTCAGCAGCACCTGCTATAAAGGCCTGGAGCACATGTCTGGGAGACTTGTGTTTGATGAGACTTGGGGTATCCTTGGTTGACTCCCCTTTAAATTGGGCATTTTGTGAATCAAGGCTGGAAGCTGCTTTCCCTTCTGACTGGATATGAGAAGGATCCATACATGCCTGGTCCCTAGCTCTCACTGAGGGGAAGGCCTCTCCTCGGGTTGTAGAACCTTTCACTACAGATGAAAGAGAAGATCTGTCTTCTCTCTTCTTGGTCCCAGAAACCTTAACCATGGTCTCTGGCATGTCTTCAGCTATGGGTTGTGGTACTGGTATTTTTCTGGCTTCATCTGTGCTCCCACAGATCTTTCTTGTGCCCTTTTTAACTGAAAGCAACTCCTGAGGGGTAGCTGGGTCGGCTTGTGGAGTCGTGGATCGCTCCCTAACTTGCTTCTCCAATGGCAAGTGCCAGACAGGGGAATCCTTGGCAATCGTCTTAGTAGATGGGGGCTCAGATCTATCTTTTAGATCATGACTTCGGCTGGATTTTTTAAGGCTTCTTCCTCTGGGCCCACCCTCACCCCTTCTTGAAATACTATATCCTTTCCTGCCACGTTTTCTCCCAGGTGCTGTTGGTACTGGGTAGCCCTGACTCCCAGCAGTAGCAGTGCTTGAAGCCTGATCTGCTGTCTTTGTATCAGAAATCTCAGCTTTGTTGCTCTGTAGCTGGCTTGAGGGACCTGTACCAAATAGAAATAGGAGAAATATGCATGCTTTTGACTTCCTAAAATAAGAATACTCCACCCTGTCCCAATGAGTACCTATTTGCCATTGAATTCCCAATTCTGAAGAGGCAGCTATTCAGAAGATAGAGAACAATCTGATCACAATTAGCCTGCTGCAGTTGGAAACACTTAAATCAAAGGGACGACCAGTTTTATGAGCTGATTTCAGAGTTAGCTCCTTACCATTTTTTCAATAGTTCTATTTACCATTAGGTGTGCAACCCATCGGTGATTCCCTTTGAAGAAGTGGACTGATGCTTCAGTTCCAGAGGGAAGGAAATATTCTTACTTTGTAATTCACATTTATGTTTTAAAGTGAATACTTTTCTAAATGGCTTGAATTTTCAGGTCATATGTGTGCACGCGTTGCTTTATATATCTATTTTTTGATATATATTAACAAATAAATATATTGAAAGGTGCCAAAAGGAGCTCTGGTAGCGTAGTGGTTACGAATCGGGCTGCAAACCTTAAGGTCAGCGGTTCGAAACTACCAGCCGCTCCGCGGGAGAAAGATGAGGCTTTCTACTCCCGTAAGGATTTACACCCTCGGAAACCCTGTACAGGGTCGCTATGGGTCGGAACCGACTTGACGGCACTTAACAGCAACAACAAAAACAGGAATTACTTGGAAGGTGAGATGATGGCCCCTTTTCTTCTCTTTTGTATTAAAATAGCCCTATGTAGTAGTATTGTGCACACAAAGCTATTCTTATAGAGCCTTAGCAATTCCATCAGTCACAGGCTTCAGGTTAAACACAAGGCAACGATGATACAAACTGCTCCTCCTCTTCTCCAGTCTAGTTGGATTGCCAGGTAAGAGGATCCTTGGCTGCCTTTCCCCCTCACCATCTGCTGCATCCCTAGCTCCATCTAGTGGAGCATAGCCGGTTACACTCCACACCACTCTCCTTATATGGAAAACCCAAGTATCTGCCCCTATGGACACTAACTCAGTTTCACCCTCTGAGTGAAATAAGGCAAGTATTAAAAATAAATATGAAAACGATAAAAAGAAAGAGATCACTCATTTAATTTCTTCTTATTTTAACGTTTTGTTGTGTGTATTTGCACACACATTGTGTGTGTGTGACTGTTTTGTTCGTTTTCATGGGAAAATGGGATATCCTGTCTTTGAGCCATGTGTGAAATCCTTTGTGGAACTGGAATTTTGTTTTAGCAAGTAATGCTTGAAATCAGCATTCTATTAGCTGAAGCCAACATCTACATATGTGCACATACACAGATTTTCACTCTGGTGTTATTTGTTGCTTGAGAATTTGAAGGGTGTTGATTGCCAAGGACATCTGTCCGCAGCTGCTCATGTTGTTTTGCCCATGGCTATGGGAACTGGTCTCATTGTTAACATAAGACCTTTTCTCTTTACCAGAAGGGAAAGGTGACTTTAAAAAGGGGTAAGGAGCCATCTTTGTTGTTCTTGTCTGGTTCTGTTTATGATGGGGATCACTGAAGGGGACTCACTGCCTGCCCTCAGATAACTGCACTCACTGAGGAACTCGACACGTACAGTAGACTCAGAGGATAACACAAACCAGCAAACAAAACACCTCTATTATTGGAAATTCATTTCTATAAAATAGGAACCAGGTACAACATTTACCTAAGTCCTGAACAAGTGGCCATTGCATTTATTTGGCAGTTCAGGCAAAGAAACTGGGCTACCTTAGCATGCATCTTAAATGGAAAGTTCTCTAAGAACCAAGGCAACAGGGTCCTCTTCATATAGCTCACAATACATTTAAGCTCACAATACATATTTCTGAATGAAAGTTCTGATGTGCCAACCTGCTTTATTCCGCTTCTTTTGGTCAGTTTCTTTGGGTGGCTTTGTACTCTTCATTTCTTCAGAAGCCAGTGGTAGGCCTGGCTCCTCCTCCTGCTTTGATTTCACCTAAAACAGGGAGAGAAAGAGCTTGAATCAGACTGAAGTGTTGGTCTTCACCCACCTTTTCATGGTGGTTAAAGGTGTGTGTGTGGGGGAGGGGAATCAGGAAAAGCGTTCTTGACACCCAAATGACCATGCTGAGAACATCGATAGCATTAAAGATGGAAGTTATTTCCAACGGCTTCCACCCAGAGTGGACGGCACTTAACAACAACGACAATACGAGTTGGACTGACAACATAATCCAACCCACCACCCACCATTATACTGAACAAGGAGCGCTGGTGGCACTTTAGAATAAACACTGGATTACTAACCACAAGATCGTCAGTAGTTCAAACACACCAGCCTCTCTGGGGTAGAAAGATGAGGTTTTCTGCTCCCAAAATTTGCAGTCTCAAAAACACTAAGGAGCAGTTCCATTCTGTCCTATAGGGTTTCTATGAGCCAGAATCGACTTGATGGCAGTGGATTTAGTTTTGGCGGGGTTTTTTTTTTGTTGTTGTTGTTGTTTATTTGTTTTAAAACTATGATTCAGTATAGTCCTGAAGGAGCTATTGATTGAGCTGGGCAAGGTTCTTGGCCAGTTTGTTTCTATCATCTCTGTTTTCAGCTGTCACTTCTCTTTATGTCAGATCTCTGAGTCTGAGCTGTGACGATGCATCTAACATAAACAGCTGGTTTAAGTGTAGCTCCACTTCTTAGAAATTCATGTGGCAGGACTTTGTGACATCTGTTTGACATGGAGAATTATTTTTATTTTTTTTTTGGTGAAGAATGACAGCAAGGCATTCAACAATTTCTGCCTGGATAATTCAGTGACCTAGGTAATATTCTTCAAGTTCTGCTATCTTTCTTGACATCCTTTTCTGACTTGTTTCACCACCATCCATCCAAACTCAGTGCCCCTAAAGCGTCTCCCCTAAACTATGGAGTTGCTGCTGTCAATCTGATCTCATAGAAATAATTCTTTAAAAGAACACAATGATCTTCGAGGGGCTAACAGCCAAGTTATGAATGTTTGGAGTTGCTGGAAGCCTTGCCATTTGTCACTCAAGCATGTCATCTAATTAAAAGCTAAAATAATCTTGCTCTGGGCTAGGGGTGAAGTTTCTCTACAGTGGGTTGAGTGAATTCCCAGATGCAAAGTAAATAAGCAGTTTTGGGGGGGGGGGCGTTTAATCACTTGCTGCTTTCCTCAGTCACTTGTATATAAGTTCTAAATGGGTAGGTTAACTAGCTATAAACTTTCTCTCACTTTTCTGGGAGTGTCAAGCTCAGGACAGTCTCACAACTTGACTATCCCTCCCTATGATCTAGAAGCCCTGGTGTCACAACAGTTAGGCACTCAGCTGGTAACTGAAAGTTTGCTGGTTTGGACTCACCAGAGGTTCTGCAGGAGAAAGGCCTAACCGCCTGTTTCCATAAAGATTACAGCCTAGAAAACTCTATGGTGCAGTTCTCTGTCACATGGATTCACTCGGAGTTGAAAGAAATAACAACACCCAGGGTTGTTGTTGTTATTGTTGCTAAATGCCGTTGAGTTGAGTCCAACTCATAGCGCCCCCGTACAGGATTCCTGAGAAGCAGCTGGTGAGTTTGAACTGCTGACCTTGTGGTTTGCAGTGCAGTGCACATCCTACAGCACTACACCAGGAATCCAAGTAGAAGGTATGAGTCCCCAAAACTAATTGCCAAAGTTGAAACTCGCTTTGCATTACACAAACAATTGAAAATCGAGTTTATTCCTAAAGGACTTACAGTCGCTTTAAGGTTCATCTTGATCTTTTGTTTCCGGGGGTTTAAAGCCATCTTGTGCCGAGCAGCTGAAGAATCCAAACAGCCCTTAGAGGTGGCTGGGGTGCTGAAACCAATGGACAGCTGGCTGCTGGTCAAGGATGGTGAGCGAGTAAGTTCAGATGATGTCTCAGAGGAGCTCTGGAATAGGAGAGAAAAGCAATGAGTCAGTTCCAGATGCTGTCACTAGTTTCAAAAGCTGGGAAGTGCACAGGCTGAAGAATCCCTAAAGAAGAAAACTTCACGAACTACTTTCCCCCTTTCCCACTGCTCTACTGAAAAGGACAGTTTGAAGCACAAGGTCGGTGGTTCAAACCTACCAGCCCCTCTTTGGAAACCCTATACAAGGCCATTATGAGTCAGAACCGACTTGATGGCACTTAACAACAACAACGGGACCCTATGGGACAGAGTAAAGCTACTCCATAAGGTTTCTGAGGCTGTAAATCTTCAGGGAAGTCAACTGTCTCATATTTCTCCTGTGGAACAGTGGGTGAGTTTGACCTGCCAGCCTTTCGATTAGAAGCCTGATGCTTTAACCAGTGTGCCACCAGGGATCTTTCACGTTTCCCCTGTATGTTAGCTACTCTCTTGGTTCCAAGTATGCTATTTCATGACCTGTGACTCCAGTGTCTACACAGGTATGTCTAGTCAAGTTTTGGATGAAAAAACCCCTGAGGCTTAGAGAGGTGACATGCCTTTGCCAAGATCCAAAGTCAATTAGAGATAGAAATGGGACTCAAACTCAGGGTGCCAATGTACTTTTTACTGAACCGTGTGGCTTGTTGTTGGTGTTAGGTTGGAAGGCAAAGCTTTCAGGAACTTCACTTGCTGATTGATGTACATGAGAAGAAATTAGGTGCAAACATCCATTAATAATGAGAATGTGGAATGTACAAAGTTATGAATCTAGTAAAACTGAAAGTTGTAAAAAATGAAATGGAACACAAAGATCAATATCCTAGGCATTAGTAAGCTGAAATGAACCGGTACTGGCCATCTTGAATTGGACAATCATATAGTTAACTATGCCAGGAATGACAAATTGAAGAGGAATGATGTCACATTCATCATCAAAAAGAAGATTTAAAAATTTTTCTTGAAATAAAATACTTTCTGTGATAGGATACTACCCATATGTCTACGAGGAAGACCAGTTAATATCACTATTATTCAAATTTATGCTAAAGTTGGTGATGATGAAACTGAAGAATTCTCTCAACTTCTTTATCTGAAACGGACGTAACAAGCAATCAAGGTGCATTGATAATTACTGGAGATTGGAAGGCAAAAGTTGGAAACAAAGAGCAAGAATTGGTAGTTGGAAAACACGGCCTTGTTGACAGAAATTATGCTGGAGATCACATGACAGAATTTTGCAAGACCAATGACTTATTCATTGCAAATACCTTTTTAAACACCACAAAGGACAACTATACACATGGACCTCACCAGATGGAATAAACAGAAATCAAATTGACTACAAATGTCAGAAATGTCAGAATGAAATATTTTCTTACTTAGTAATTACTGTACAAATAAATGGGTTAAACTCTACATTCATAGACAGATTGGCAGTATAATCCCATCAAGCTAGATGATGACTACAAGACACATACTTAAGATCCAAAGACATAAATAGGTTGATACTGAAAGGATAGGATAAGGCATTCCAAACAAATACTAGCCAAATGAGAGCCGGAGGGGCTACACCAACATCAGCTAAAATAGATTTTAAGCCAAAAAATTGCTATACTATTAAGTATTAATGATTGTTAAGTGCTGTCAAGTCAGTTCCAACTCAGCAACCCTGTATAAGGTTTATGAGGAGCAGCTGGTGGGTTTGAACCACTGATCTTGCGGTCAGCAGTCCGCTGCTGATCCTACAGCACCACACCAGGACTCCGTGTTAATGATGGATAGTTTAAATATATAAACATACACTATATAAAGGACCCATCTATCAAAGATTATAAACATAAAAGAATTCCAACATATATGAAGCAAACACTGACAGAATTAAAGGGAGAAATAAGCCCTGGTAATGTTGTGGGTTACAAGTTGGGCTGCAACTGAAAGGTTAGCAGTTCAAATCTATCAGCCGCTTCATGGGAGAAAGGTTAGGTTTCTGTTTCTGTAAAGATTTACAGCCTCAGAAACCCTATACGGGGCTGTTATGAGTTGGTATGAACTCCGTGGCACAAAATCACCACCACCATAAGAAAAGCTAATGAATTCAATATACCACTTTCAAAAATGGATAGAACAAGATGCAAGAAAGGTGATCAAGAGGAAATAGAGGATTTGAACAATACTATAAACCAACTGGAGTCCTGGTGTGGTGTTGTGGGTTAATGCGCCAGACTGCAAAGCCATTTGAACTGCAAGGTCGGCGGTTCAAGCTCACCAGTCACTCCTTGGAAACCCTATGTAGGGTTGCTATGGGTTGGAACCGACTCAACGGCACTTAACAACAAGACCAACATAAACCAACTGGAGTCCTGGTGTGGTGCTGTAGAATAAAAACTGGTCTGCTAATCATGAGGTTGGTGGTTCAACCCACCAGCTGCTCCTCAGAAACCCTATACAGGGTTGCTATAAGTTGGAACCAACTTGATGGCACTTAACAACAACAACAACAATAAACCAACTAAGAAGCCCTGTTGGCACTGTGGAATATGCATTAGGCTATAATAAGGAGCTCTGGTAGCATAGTGGTTACGAATCTGGCTGCGAACCTTAAGGTCAGTGGTTCGAAACTACCAGCCGCTCCGTGGGAGAAAGATGAGGCTTTCTAATATATATATATATATATATGGAGCTCTGGTACTATACTGGTTATGAATCAGGCTGCGAACCGCAAGGTCAGCGGTTCGAAACTACCAGCTGTTCCGCGGGAGAAAGATGAGGCTTTCTGCTCCCATAAAGTTTTACAGCCTGGGAAACCCTGTACAGGGTCGCTATGGGTCAGAATCGACTTGACGGCACTTAACAACAACAACACACACACACATATATAGGGATTGCTATAAGTCAGCATTGACTCAATGGCAGTAGATATTTTTTTGTACAAATCAACTAAACCTAACACACATATATAACACAAAACCCAACAGTAGAATATATATCCCTTTTTAAGTTCACAGAGATCATTCTCCAGGATGGACCATGTCTTAGGAGATAGAATAAATCTCAATAAATTTTAAAATATTGAAATCATATGGAAATCTTCACTTGACAACAATGGAATGAAACTACAAATCAATGACAGAAAGTAACATGGGAAATTCACAAATATTAGAAATTAACTATGCACTCTTAAACAACCAGTATGTCAAAGAAGAAATCACAACAGAAGTTCAAAAATACTTTGAGACAAATTAAAACAAAAATACAACATACTAAAACTTATGGAATGCTGTAAAAGTAGTGCTAAAGGGGGAATTTAGATCTCAACGCAATAATATAACTTTGTTGTTGTTAAGTGCTGTGGAGTCAGTTCTGACTCATAGTGACCCTGTATAGAATTTCCAAGGAGCAGCTTGTGAGTTTGAACTACTGACCTTGTAGTTCAAACCAACCTTGTGGTCTGGTTTATCCTACAGTGCTACAATATAACTTAACACTTTAAAAGAGAAGAGCAAATTAAACAATAACCTAGCAGAAAAAAGGAAATAGTAAAAATTAGAGCGGAGATAACAAATTAAAGAATAGAAAAACAATGAAGTAAAAAGTTAGTTATTTGAAATTATTAATAAAATTGGCAAACCCCTTTGCTATATTAACCAAGGGAAAAAAGAGAGAAGACTCAAGTTACTAAAATCAGAAGTGAAAAAAGGGACAGAAATAAAAAGAATTATAAAAGAACACATGACAACGAATTAGGTAACCTAGATCAAAATGGAAAATTCCTTGAAATACCAAATTACTAAAACCGAAGGAAGAAATAGAAAATCTCAACCGACCTACAAAAAGTTAAGAGATGGAATTAGCTATCAAAAACCTCCTGTTGTTGGTGTTACATGACATGGAGTTGGTTCCAACTCATAGCAACCCTGTATAGGGTTTCTGAGGAGCAACTGGTGGGTTTGAACGGCCACTCTTGTGATTAGCAGTCCAGAAAAATCCAGAACCAAATTTCTTCACTGGTGAATTCTATCAAACATTTAAAGAAGAATTAACCACCAATGTTTCTCAAAATCTTCAACAAAATAGAAGAGGAGGGAACATTCCCTAGATCATTCTATAAGTCTACCATTATTCTGATAACATAGACAAAGAAATCGCAAGAAAACAAGAGACCAATATCCCCTCTGAATACAGATGCAAACATCTTAAGCAAAATATTAGCTAAATTAATCCTGCAACATGATGAAAGCATTATACAAGTGAACCAGGGGGTTTATCCACAAGGGTGATTCATCAAATAAACAACAACAACAAAAAAAAAACAATTAATAGAAGAAGAGAAACCTGAATGATCATCTCACTAAGTGTAGAAAAAGAATTTGATAAAATGCAACAAATTTTCATGATAAACAACACTAAAAAAAATTAGGAATATGAGTGCTATGAATTGAATTGTGTCCTCCCCAAATACTCTTATGTGTTATAAATCCTAGCCTCTATGTCTGTGGCTTGGGTCCTGGTGTGGTGCTACAGGATAATCACTGGACTTCAAATTGATAAGTCAGTGGTTCAAACCCACCAGCTGATCCTCGGAAACCCTCAACAAGGCTGCTGTGAGTCGAACCGATTCAATGGAACTTAACAATAACAATTCGTTGTCATGTTATTGGCATAGATTATCTTTGTTATATTAATGAGACAGTATTAGTATAGGATGTGTTTTAAATCAACTTCTTTTGAGATATAGAAGAGATTAAACAAACAAGTGAGAAGCAGAGATTACCAAGGAGCCAAGGAACAAGGACCATCCCCCCAAAACTGACAGACAAAGGCTTTCCCTAGAGCTTGTTGTTGTTGTTAGGTGCCATCGAGTTGGTACTAACTCATAGCGACCCTATGCACAACAGAACAAAACACTGTCTGGTTCTGGGCCAATCTCACAATCGGTGCTACACCTGAGCCTGTTGTGCTGCCACTTTACCAATCCAACTGTCTGGGGGTCCTCCTCTTTT